CCCCCCCTGCCCTCTTTGCTCCCGCAGCAGAACGGGAGCCATTCCCTGGTAGTTCAGCACAGCCTGTACAGCTGCCCCCCCATGGCAGCTCTGCCCCCTGCTGGCCACGCTCTGCTCTCCTCTCCCGCACTGCCCCACCCCCTGCGACCCCTCCCGCACAGCCTCACCCCCCCGCCGTGACCCCTCTCCCGCACAGCCTCACCCCCCCGCGTGACCCCTCTCCCGCACAGCCTCACCTTTTTCAGGATGATGTCAATGTAGCCAGCGATAAGCTGGGCGATCTGCTCCCCCTCCGTCGTCTGCACTGAGTAGTACCCGTCCTGGTAATCCCCGAAATCCTACAGCAACAGGACACTGGGCAGCACCGGAGCCGGCACCTGCTGCCCTGCACAGCTTGCACCTTAGCTCCATGCCCAAGGCACTGCTCTGCCCCCAGGGAACGCGTGTGCCTCGCGGGGAGGGGACCCAGAAGGCAAGGAGAGGTGTGGGAGGCACGGCGTGGCCAGAGGTGTTGGGGAGGGGCAAGAGTCCAGGTCTTCCCCAATGCTCTCTAGCACAGGAGGCTGGTGTGGTCAGGGAGGGGCAGGCTGGAGACAGTGATGGAACAGGAGAGTCAGTGGGGAAGGGTGCTGGGGGGCAGGCCCTTACCAGGGTAAATCTCTTGGGAGAGACACCCCAGCCCCAGAGGGTTGTGTGGTCTGGAAGGGGCAGGCTGGAGGCAGTGGGGGGAGGGGGGGAACAGGCTGGAGGGTGCTGGGGGACAGGCCCTTACCAGGGTGAAGCTCTTGGGCGACGCAGCCCAGCGTTTGATGTTGGTGAGGTTCCACTCCTGAATCACCTCCTTGGTTTTCTCGTCCACACGCATCACACACTCTTTGGTGATCCCCAGCAGCCGCGGCACCAGCTTGTTCTTTCCCTTCATCTTCTCCTAGCACCAGGACAGGGAAGGGTTACAGCTGCCCCAAAGCCAAGCCACTGGCAGGGCAATGTCCCATCAGCGAGGGGATAGCCCCATGGGCCCCACCCCGCTGGATGATGCCCAGTGATGAAGGAAAGGAGAGAACACGTGAGCGGAGGGGAGGGGAGCCCTGAAGGTGGGAGGGGAGGGGTGAGGGGGGGTCGCCTGGACACCGATAGCTGGAGGGGTGGCAGGGACAGGAGGCCGGGGCGCGTGGGGAGCCGCTGGCTCACCTTGACCAGGAAGAAGGAGACTCCATAGGTTTTCAGGGAGCGGGCGAGTTTCACGTAGCGAACTTTGGCCTCAATCTCGCTCATGTTGCTGCAGTTCTTGTGAGCCTGAGAGAGCAGAGCCCATCACCCCAACGTCATGGCTCCTTCCAGGGTACCCCCTGCCTGTCGTCCCCTCTCCTCCCCCCCACTCCTGGCCACCCCATCACGGCCCTCCCAGCAACCAGGGGCCCCACCCGACCCTGCCAAACACCACCCTTGTCCAACTCTGCCTTCCGCCAGCCCTCCATGAACCTCCTGACAGCAGCTGTGCTCGCCAGCCTGAACCACTACCCAGCCTCTCCTGCGGTGTATCCCCCTCCCGGTCGGGCGTACCCCCGCCCCTCCCCCCTGTTACGGGCCCCTCCCGGCGGGCGTACCCCCACCCCTCCTCCCGTTACGGGCTCTCCCAGGAACTACCAGGCCTTCCTCCCAGCCACAGCCACACATCACATGACCGAAGCTCCACATGCCCCATCTGAGTGGCCGCCCCAGGCTGCTGGCTCCTCTCCTGGGCCTGGGCCCTGCAGCCTTGGGAGAGGCGAGGGCCTGGCTGTGCACAAGCCAGGTGAACAGATCCCAGGCCAGGCCCAGGCAGCGGCCTGCCCCCGCCCTGCACACTCACCATGAAGATCTTGCGCTCGCCTTTCTGCTTGATGTACTCCTTGGGCAGGAAGTCCTTCAGGCTGCAGGGAGAGCAGAACCAGCTGTTACCGGCAGAGCCTGGCGCAGGCCCGCCGACCCCCAGCACAGGCCTGGGACAAGCCCCAGTGCCAAGTCCTGACATCAGCCCACGCAGGAGCCCCAGGCAGGGCATGAGCAGGGAGCGAGTCCTTGGGGTATGGCGGACATGGGAGAGGCTGGAGAGAGGAACCAGGGTCCTGCAGCTCAGGGCTCTGTCAGGACCCTCATCCCCGAAGCAGACCCCTCCACACTGCAAAGGTACCCCGAGCCCGAACGGCTGCAGCCCCAGTACCCGAGAGAGGGCTCCCTGGAACGGGGCGTGGCAGGGAGCAGGCCGGGGGCTCCGCCCTCACAGTAGCACTGAGCCGAGTGCCGCATTGGGGGACGGGGGCGACGCCTCTGTGGGGCTCCTTGGGACACTCACTCCAGAAAGCCCGGCTTGTGCTTCTGCTCATTGTGGGGTCCAAACTGGATCTGACACTGGAACCCAGCAAACTCGCAGGCCTTGTCGAAGGAGACAGGGTGGGAGCCATTCAGGATGTCGTCACGAGCCTGCGGGAGAGAAGGGTGAGTCTGGGCCGGGGGAGGGGGAGCCACACATTGGCAGGGGGTGGGGAGAAAGGAGAGGGGATGGGGGGTCACACGCTGGCTGTGGGGGGAGGGAGGAGAGCCACACGCTGGCTGGGGGCCGGAGGAAAGAGAAGGGATAGGGGTCGCACGCTGGCTGGGGGGCGGAGGAAGGAGAGGGGATGGGGTCGCACGCTGGCTGGGGGGCGGAGGAAGGAGAGGGGATGGGGGTCACAGGCTGGCTAGGGGGGGGAGGAAGGAGAAGGGATGAGGGGTCGCACACTGGCTGGGGAGGAAGGAGGGGGATGGGGGTCGCACGCTGGCAGGAGGCTGGGGAGGAAGGCGAGGGGATGGGGGGTCGCACGCTGGGTGGGTAGGAAG